TGAGGATTCTGTGTCATTTCGGTTCAGCACATCACTGTACACTAGGCCATACTAGGCCAGCAATAGCCACAAAATTCACATTTCACATGTAGGTCCTGCTGGGGAACCTTAAGAAACAGCAGGTTTTTTAACATAAACGTCACGAAAACAGCACAATTTGTACACTTAAAACGAGCGTATTTACACAGAATGCTACTATGATTCCCAAGATTTACGCTACGAAGATCTCTCGCGATGTCCCCATGTTTATGGTTGAAAAATAACTGCATGTTGATATATTTTGATTATGATTGGAATTCATCATCCCATATCCCAACATATTGTTGACAACATTTTTTTTGAAACAGGTCCAATAGTAATGCTTCATTGACCTGGTTTTGATGACATGGCAGTTCTTGGGGCATCATCTAAACACTGATAGTTGCAACCTCTCCGTACAAACGGGCCTGCCATAGATATGAAGACAACGTCACCTGAAACGGCAAACGTGACTTGAATGGAGTGCAACCTCATGCCCTGGCAGGTTTACAATCATTATTTACTGATCTTCTTGCTCGGCTGGAAATGTTCATTCTGTGATTGCTCAATTCAACATGTACATACCAAGACTTTGACACCGGGATATATTCCCATATGTGTCATTGCTTGCGGGCTTTTTTTTTACGCGACGGTCAAAAGCATGGGGGTCATCCCAACTTCATTAGGGATTCCCTATGAATGGATCGATGGCCATCCCCCAGCAATGCTTTGGTAGTTAAATCCCCATGTGTTGATGGCTAGTCAGTCCCACATATAAATCAAATTGAGGCACCGTTTTCCCATCTAGATTATTTCCATTCATTTCCCAATTAAATATAATATGATATAATTAGATCGTATATCCCGTTGGTAAGTGGATAATAACTATAACCATCACTTCTTTGTCCTAGCACTGTTTCTTCATCAACAGAAGACTTTCGGCCCTGGCCTCTCCTGCCTCTGCGCAATGGTCAGAGCCTGGTGGGAGTCACTTTGTCAAACACCTTGTCTCAGTTCACAGTTTGTTCTCTCCTCATCTCATCTTAGTTACTCACAAAAAAAAGAAAAACGTCAAGAACCCCCATTGTTTGATGTGTTTCTCTTCCAGCTTTCACCCACATCCGAGGTTTCCAGAGTCATCATACTCCGCATCCATCAGGCCTCTGGGTTGGCGCTCCGGTGAGGACCTAAGACCAAAAAAAGGCTCTGGGATCCACGTTCAAAATCCACTTTCGACAGCTGGGGGGCCCTCATTTACAACAGCTAAGTTGGCTTCAAACATCCAAACACTATGGTTTATGATACTTAGAACATCTTAGAACATCTTAGAACTATAGTTGGGTTTCCAAACAGACTTATAACCGGGGCCCAAGATATGGTATGTTTGTTGGAGAAGAAACTATTGGGCTTGATCTACCCTGCAGTGTCTTAAGCTATTGAACATTGGCAAGTTTATTCCATGAATTACGTATTCAAACTGGTGATTTTCCATAGTGTAGCAAACACTCTAACAGGGTGGCCACCAGTAGGAACACTTGCCCCACACCCACGAAGCAAAATATGAAGGAAAACCTGGTGATAATTTTGGATTTAACAATCCACAAATGCTGAAAACATGGGATTCAACCATCAACAATGATAACTAACAGAGATTTGAAACCAAAACCCAAGTCGGAAGCTTCTGGATGTCAACTATTCAACATGTTCATCTTGGAATTCTATGTTAGAATGCTGTTTTTTTTACGTACGTCCCCCACATGAATGTGCAAGCTAGTAAATGGTCAGAGCCCCATGGTTGAAATTATAAATCAGCTACTCTATATTTGGAATATCCCCAGCCAAGTTATAATATTATATCTACAAATCAACCAGGAAAGTGCTGGCCAGCAATGTTTGTATGCATAAATATATATATATATATATACTGTATATATATACATATACATACACACACTATTTATTTAGTTACGATTTTATTTGCCTATGTGCATGTATTCCAGCAGTTATTCTGCAATTTATTGTGTACACACACACGTATATAAATATAATTAAATATATGGAGGTTTCCTGAAACGGGGGTACCCCTAAATCCTCCATTTTCATCGGATTTTCCATTGTAAACCATCCATATGGGGGTACCCCCATTTAACCCCCATCATATAACCAGTGATTTTTCCAAGGTTGCCCCACGGCCGCAGCAGGGTGTGCAGGACTGGTTCTCTTCCACTTCCATCCTCCGGGCGTATGGAAAATCTTCAAAATTGTTGATTTACCCTCTGGTTATGAGTAACATAGCCATGGAAAATGGTCCATTTATAGATGATTTTCCCATTAAAACCTCCATTTTTAATGGATTTTCCATGGCTATGTTAAATAACCAGATGGTAAAGGGATATCTAATGGGATGTTGTGGGATATGGGACCTAGTGGGCGATTTTACGCGATTGAAAAATGGGATTCAATTGGAGTTGATGGGATTTTTTTGGATTTCATGGGATAATCACCAACCATCTTACAAATGTGGGGAGCAACCAGCCAAATATGAGAAAATATGGGGAGCGGGACACGTATCATTGGGTTGGAATGGAAAAGGGAAAACGTCTGGGAAAATACAGCGTATATATGCGTAATTATGCGTATATATACGTATGATGGGCAAGCGATCGATATGATGGGATCCTAATTGGTAATATCATGAAATATATTATATGGATGTGTTTGAAAATAGGATATACGCTCAAAATTGCCAATTACTTGGGAAAATGATGATAAACCCATCGAATGGCATTTTTGGCACCATATTTTCAGACGAACTATTGGACCCAAAGAGAAGAGTTCCAATATCAAACCTATTCAAGGGGAAGGGATTGTTCCTCAAATTCCTGGCCAAAGAATCATCAATTTACCATCAAAGTTTAGCAAAGAAAACACAGAAGCTACCGTAGTTTGAAGCCGGGCATCTAATTTTTTCAACTTCTGGCGAAACGTCCAAACAGTGTCTGTTTGCTCCCTGGTTAAAGCTGTAGCAACCCGAGAAACGACAGAAAAATCTGGGAATTTGGGAATATTTATGTATTGAATATCATCTATCAGCACCCAGAAACATGTTATCTTTTCGGGGATGGCTATATTCCAGTTTCCTCTATTTGGGGCCGGGACAACTAGTGAAAAAAAGGAAAAAACATTCTTGAAACCGAACACGTAGCGACCTGGGGTCGAAAGATAGGCCCCGCCTGTACCAAGCACTCAATGCGAACATCCTCACCGTGGCAGAGAAGTGAAGTGAATCGAGTTGTGGTGTTTTGAACCGGAATTCCAAGATTATCTGGTTATCCTTACGGAAGGTTTTTCTTTCTTTGAGAGGAACAAACGTGTATATAGTATATCTATATATATATATATATTCTGAATATCTCTGATATAAACATATGACTACACATGATGGGGCTATTTGTGTTATTATACATTGAATTCCAGGATTTCGGATTTCGTACATACGGATCTCCAAAATTTATCGACCTGGACTTCCAACGAAATTGAAGAAAGTGTAAATCTTTCAATCCTTCTACTCCCTGCCGCTCATCTTATAATCAATATATCAATATCATTCAAACCAGCCCCACAAAACATTGTCAAACATAGGGGATGAAACGACTACTGGGGACCATTGAGGAGGGTCGTTTCTCTGCTGAACGGGATCCAATGGAGCCCACATCGATCAAAGTGATGTACCTTGATGGACTCCATGATGGACGACGGTGAAAGAAACTAGCGGATTTCAAGCAATATTTTTTTAAAAGAAGATTCACTAAGATTTCACTGTAGCACTTAGAACTCCATTTATCATCACGTATCTATATAATTGGCATGCATTGCATGATACTCTGATAGCTCCAAAACGATCCAAAACGATCAAAAATGAATCCGAAATCAAAAATCCTCACTGCACTCTGCTCCTCAAACTGCACATTCAGCTTAATGTTCATTGGGAATTCAATTTTTACCGGGTTTACTGAGTGATCTTCACATCATTTCATTAATTAAAACGGTAAACTCTATGAGAAGCAGCAAGCAAGTAACAAAAACACATGCAAAGGAATTAGGCTTGGCTTAGATCCAAGTAGCACACTTTACGAATTGGCCCAACAATGTCTCGTAAATACCAGTGATCATCATTTACGAATTGGTTGTGATAGGTGTCTTTAACCCCTCTATTCATCAACCCACCGATGGGTCTGCTTCACTACCATTGTCCCGACAAAAAATGGGTATCACATGGCATCAACATTTCCAAACCCCAATGGGAAAAGGACATCCTATGTCACCCTGTTTCTTGCGGATCGCATTTTTTTTCCACGCTCTTCTCTGAGTTGCAAGACACCTTAGAACGTCACGCTAGGATGTTTGCGGAGCTTGCCATGAAAAGGTAAGAACCCCAGGCATGTGGAGTTCTCTGGCAAACAAAAAAAACGAAATATGATAGATAAATGGATAGACAGATTGATAGAAGTTCTGCAGATTCTTAGTGCCCAGAAACAGAAAAAAAACACATTGAACATGCATTTGTTCCAGGAACATTAGAGATTTTTGACCCCAAAAGGTCGTTCCGAACCAGAAACGTTTGGAACACGCTGCACGCAAGCTGCGGTGCTACACGCAAAAAGGATCTCCGTGGATCCCATCCCGCATCCCATTGATCAAAATAGTGATAATGAATCTGATTAGAGATTTTATATCTATTAATATATTCATAAATAGATTTATGTATTCAATATATACATACATACATACATACATACATACATACATACATACATACATATATATATATATATATATTATATATATTCAATAACACTGATCATTTGCATCGAATAGAACATAGAACCATCAGAGGAATTGCCACTGTGTCGTTGGGAAACTGTCGTTGTGGCTCTGAAGAAAAATCTCCCCAGCTGCCAAGCGCGGCACAGTGGCACAGGTCAGCAGCGGCGGAGGTGGAGGTCAAACCATTCGTGCGACATCCTGTAAGGGATGCTTTCAACCAACAGAACGGGATGTATAATACATATATATATATATACATATATATATATATAACATGAATGTGTATATGCATGCAAACATACACACATCGTAGTTCTTATTATCAATAATAGTATGCATGACAAAACAACATATAATATATAACTTTAATATTATATCAAATTGTAATATATTAGATTCTTTTATAAGGTTCACCCAGATGGGGAAATTGACCATCAAATGATTGAGTCTACCTCTAGGGAAACTGAAATTTGAATCCGGGAAACCATCAAATCATCCTATTTCGAAACAGAACCATATGGGGTTTCCATGATTGGGGTACCCCAAAACGATTGGTTTATAATGGAAAAACATATTTTGACATGGATGAGGACTGGGGGTACCCACATTTTAGGAAACCTCCATATGGGATATTTACAATGTGATGATAACAGCCGTCTTAGGGGCATACGGCATACGTCATTTCATGACAATTTGTGTTGAAGATGATGATCAGCTATGGGCATGGCGACCAGGAAAAGGAGTACCATTCTGGAACCGGAAAAGGCTTCATCCAATCATTTTGGTAAGTATATAACTGTTTATATCCGTGTGACAAACCTTCAGCAACTGGGTTTATCGCAAAATCCTTTCGATTTGTAAAAAAATGGAGAAACTATATGTGTTCTGATTAAGTAAGGTTGCATGCATATCTGACTTGGCTGCTACGGCATTGGCTTTGTTATGACCATGATTATTAACGTGTAAAAACAACAACATCCTTGGGGAAGAAAACCACCAGAAACATTAAGGGTAGACCATTCTTTACACATTTTGGCAGCATAAAAACACAACAATGACAATCTTGGACACCCTGAAAACTTGTGTATCTCAATACTTGGTAAACATCTTGCAAAGGATCACGAATCGTATCAATCCGTACCAATCCGGTCAGGTGATCCAGAATTGTCAGAATTGTGGAATATGGTTATTTAACATACCTATGGAAAATCCCTTATAACTAGAGGTTTCTAGCTGGGAAAATCATTTGTAAATGGGCCATTGTCCAGTTCGCTACGTTAAATAACCAGAGGGTACATCCCATAAAAAAAGAAAAAAACGCAGAACATTTCCAGGAAATGACCCAAAACAGGTTGGATATAGTAACCCCGAAAAGATAGGAGAGTAAACACCTACCAAATTAGTCGTCGAACTACGTTTCCATATCCATATATATATAGAGAGACATCATCTTTGTCCCAATGAATTTTTGTTTATTTTATCATCATCTGGTAATCCAATGGCAATGGAACATCACATGTTTTAAAGGAAAACTATCTATTAATCATCCATTATCCGAAGCAAACTATCAACTGCTTGATTAATCTCAGTTGTATATACCATCCAAATATGGTTGGTGATATTCCAAATTATTTCCAGCAAATCAAATTAAATATCAATGTATTTCAAAAGCAATGTCCCATCAAATCTCCATTACATCCTGTTGCTTCAATGGAACATCACCATTTTTTCTAGGTACATCTACAAATGAGCCATTTCCAAATATATATATATATGTGTGTGTATAAATATACATACTTACATTAAATTCAATTAATAAATACATACTTACATTTAAACAAAATGAATATAAATAAATATATATATAATCTAATCTAATATACAGCATATAGTCTAGCTGGTTGGTGGTTTCAACCCTCTGAAAAATATTAGTCAGTTGGGATGATTATTCCCAATATATGGAAAAATAAAAAATGTTCCAAACCACCAACCAGCTAGTAATACAGTATACATATGTCATGTAGCCCCCCCCCAAAAAAAAACCGAACACTGGACTCAAAGGACCTGGCGATGATGCTGGCGGCCAAGACTTCGTTAAGGACTTGCCGGACCGGAGCCCATGACCTGCGAAACATCAGGGAAGCTGTGGATGTGTTTCTTCCAAAAAACTGATGAAATTTATGGGAAAATATGGGAAAATCATGGGGAAATCATGGGGAAATCATGGGAAAATGATGGGACATATGTGGATCGAATGGACAATTGATGGGACATGTCGGACATGTTCAATAAACAACAACCCCCAAAGGTGCCGAACATATCCCTTGACACCTGGTTTCACACTTTTCGGCATATTTTTTTGGGTTGCTACAATCAAAAAACACATGTCCCAAATATGTGCAAAACACCCAAAAAAAAACTCCAAACAACACACACATAATCACAAGAAAAAACATGGGGTTCACCTGAAGCCTGAACACATGGATCTACTCACAGAAAAACATGCTGTTCAGCAAGAACAAATAGAGCACGTTGATGTTCAATAGTTCAAAAATGGGATCTTGACCAAGGAACATCAGAATTTCACATGCTCTCATCCGGATTTCAAGCGATTCAAAGGTTCCAACTAAACTTAGGCTTTCACTACTTTCCTTTACCCTTTAGCCTTGCACAAATCAAGCCTTGAACCTGAGGATCTGAATGAAAAAACATGGTACTCAAACTTGACCCACAGATTTTAAGTATCAAATAAATATATAAATAGATGAATGAATACAGTAAATAAATAAATAAATCAAAACACACACACACACATATATATATATATATACATAGACCGATTTAATTACAGATGTTTTTCATTGACTTTTCCCGGACTTTCTCCATGTTTTCTCCCCCACGACTCCGCCCTGCACACGTGCAGCTCAGCCGCTCGCCCCGGCGCCAGTCCACCGCATGGTCCCCAAAGGGGCCAGAGGCGCCCCAACCGTAGCGCGAGACCAGGTCAAGCCCTTGCAGGCATGATTTTTGTGGTTAGGATTTGATGATGCGTAAATAATGGTTATATAACAATGGATAAATAATGGTTCATAATGGTTAACAATGGGTAGTAATGGTTAATAATGGTTAACAATGGTTAAATAATGGTTAATATTAAAAACAAACATCATGGGATTTTCAAATTTAATGATGGCTAAGGTTTCATGGGGGTTTGATGTTAATGGTGGTTGGTGAATCATCATGATTAATGATTATGTAATGATGGTTAATAAACTACCTTATGGGAATTGTAATGGGATTTAACTAACCAACTATATCCAAATATCGCATATAGGGGGTTCATGGGGTTATATTGGGATACTGCAATCATGGGAACATGTTGACATAATGGAATGATCATAGAATATTCATGGCTAATACCCACAGTTGATTGGACTCCTCAAACATGGTGATGTGGCTTGGGATAGTAATGGGCCATCTTGGGGATGAAAATCCTGAAAATATAGACATAGTGTGGCTTCCCTTCTCCAAACGTTGATTGGGATTAAAAAAAAAAAATCCAGTGATAGTTACACTAATACTCCACAGCCAACAGTGGGAAATGCCCAGCCAATGTTTGATGAAAACAAACAAGCCACCTGGAACCCCTGCAGCCGTCATGCATCCCATCCACTAACTAGATGATCATCACTGGGTCGTACTGGTAAGAACTACCTCTTTGCGAACCGGAAAATCACCACTTTTAATTTGCGTTCATCAGCTAAACCATCGAACCAAATGAAAATGGGTAACCAGTTTTGACGGCGTTGCTGGCTTTGCCAAAGGCTTATTTGGGTGTGCGTTCGAATGGGCTACCACCGAAATGGCTCCAAATGGGCAATTCAATAGGATAAATTTCATGGATAACCTGATTAAGCGTCAAAATCTTTGGGGTACCCTATCGTCAGACAAATCCAAATGGGATATACAAAGGAGTGACAAATGAGGGCGATTCATTCGTTGCGAAGTGGGATGTTCTTGTTGGTTAAATCCCTTTCTTGTGTCCTCCATGCTGGAGGCATGCCTAATCTTAGATACTAAAGGCCAGAGATCTAAAAAATAGTGAGCTGGTCTGGTCAAGTGATCACTAAATCATTAAAATGGCCAAAGTTTCGCTAGTATTCAACTTAAACAAACCCCCAAGAAAAAATGCAGAAAAGTGAACAGATCCAGACACAATAGTGATATGTCCTTATGCTAATTTAACAAGTTGCCATGGAAAATCACCATGTTCAATAGGAAAATCATCAAACTAAATGAGTCCTGGTTTCCAATGTTTTTTTTTTTTATGGCAACTATAATGTTTCAATATAACAATCCATTGGTTTAATGGTACGTTTTGCTGCTACTGGTATCATCCATTGATTCAAGCCCTAACTGTGCCTGGAATCCACCGCAGGTTGTACAGATGCTGACGGCAAAGTTTCGCCTGGAAACATGGACCAATGGAGCTCCCATGGAGCTCCCTCCACCAGGGAATTTAACATGGGATTTAGGCATGTTTTCTTTAGATTTCCCAAATTATTTGGTTTATGATTGATGTAAGTCCCCAAAGTAATACCTCAGATGATTCGAGTTTGATGCGGATGGTTTGTAAGACCAAACTCCTATGCCTGATTTCCTGGGACACGTTTGAAATGTTTCTCAACTTTCGTTGGCCAAAAAATTACCCTAAGATTGTTGGAGGCCGCCACACATTACATCCAAAAGATATTTGAAACAGACTGAAATCCGACAAAAGCGAGTAGCGCATACCAGGTCTTAACGTGCTGTAGATATATGAATGGGACTACTAGTCCCATCCCCCGACTTGTGTGGAAAACTCCTACTAAACCATGGTTTCTGGTGTGTAAACTTCTACATTACAGACATTAGATGACGTTAGCATGTGGAGTTCATTTTCCCAGCTGTAATCCATTTATAGTTGATTTTTGCCATACTGTGGATGGAAGAATCCTGCACCAGTTGGCAACCGTTAGGTAACTATGAAACAGTGTAAATAATGAGATTATAAGGGGATAAACCATATACCAACTGGTGCAGGATTTCTTCCATCCACAGTATGTTCATAGATTTTCCCATGTCCTATGATTTTACACTTCAGCTCCATGCTGGATTTCCCGTTTCCGAACTCGGTGAACATCTCCGGGCGACATGGCAATAGCTTCCGGAGATGCTCCCCAGGAGCTCGTTTTCCCTAGGCCATTGGGGCAGATGTGGATTACCCTCTGGTAAACGTTTACATAACTATGAGAAATCACATTTTTTAATGGATAAATCAACTATTTCTATGGCCATTTTCAATACCTATGTTTGTTTACCAGAGGGTATAATGATTGAATAATCAATACTATGATGCTATATATGCTATAAGGTCAATGAATATACGATTTTATCGGAGTTTATATGAAGATATGGATGATTATGGATTATGGAAATCACATGTGATAGTACACACATAATACATATAATACATTAATACACATTATTCTTCTTAATATTATTATACTATAATCATTATTGTAACCATTAATGTCGGGGCAAACATCCGATATGGATTATTGAAGTGTACATACTATAAATCCACGTTCATAATATACTAACAGCAAATAAATCTGCCTATTACTGGGTCACTTTTGGGGCAGGTCATTTTTGGTAGGGTCTTATTTGAGGAAAATCCCTGATTTTGAGGTGTCATAAGCAAATAAAAATATTCTTATAAGACGTCCACATCTATATTTGTTCTTATATATTTTAAGTTTTTGTTTGGAATGATGTGTATGTGTGGTTCATTGAAAGCCTAGAAGACAAAGTTGTCCGTTGTCCAGGTGATCATGTGGATCAAACCCCATGCTCTTGGAAGCTCAACTGCAATGGGTCCTTCATCATGGTTTAACAACAAAGAACCATGAGGAAACAAGGACATGACATTATATGTATATACATGCTATATATATATATGCACTTATAGAGCTGGGAGTAAGCAATGTTTGTTGCATCATGTTTGTTTTACAAACAACACCTCGACCAACAGTAGCTATTCACCAGACAAGGGTGCGCTTAAAATCCGTATAGTCCTCCATCTCTGGCTGACAATCAACCCTCAATTTGGACGGTTTGGGTTTATCAATCCAAAATGGCTATTGTTTATCAAAATGGAGTTCCACCTTGATCAAATGCCTCCAGGACGGGCCTGCAGCAAATATTGGGGGAAGGAAAGTTCAATTTGTCAGTCAGCAACAATCTTCATGACTGTTGGTAATATCATTCAGCACTCCCATGTTGCATTAGCCTACTTGCATTCAAACATAGAAACGGATTGTTGCAATGTCACAAGACCCAACCTTAGCCATGGTTTTCCTAGATGTTTCCCATAGTTTCCATGTTGTTCCCCATTTGTTGTCCTAGATGTCCCCGTGTTTTCCCGTGATTTTCCCACAAAAAAAAACGCCCAGCTTCCAGCGCTTGGACATGCCATCCAGAATCACATCTCCTGAGGGTGGCACCTGGCCGATGTGTATCAACTTATTGTGCATATATATATAATGATATTGGATTGTTATAGTATATTTAATGTATTGATGATAATGATAATGATAATGCTACTGTATTGATAATAATGATAATGATAATGATAATGTAAAATGATAATGATAATGATAACGTATACCCATGGGATAGTATATTTAGTGGATTTTGAATGGGATTTTTCATGGACTTTTAATGGGATCTTAATGGAATTGTTAATGTAACATACCCTCTGGTTATTTAACATAGCCATGGTATAAATGGCCCATAGAAATAGATGATTTATGATTTATGAGGGTTTACCGTTCTTAAAAAATGGTGGATCTTTCCATGGCGAACTGTTAAATAACCAAATGGTATATATACTTAACCTCAAGGAGACCGAACAGGTTCAACTTATCACTACTGATCACGATTTCAGTGGGACTGTACTTCGATATTTAATTTTTTTGGGGTGTAGTACGATAGATATAATTGATTATTACTATTATTATTATATATATACTATTTCTTTTTAAGTACAGGATACCCTCTGGTAATTCGAAATTATGACATAGCAATTTCAACCATTCAACATTAGTTCTATGATTTTACCTATTTCACGTAATGTTTTTCCATAACTATTATTTTACTGAGTTTACTGTAGGGTAGTGAATATTACTATTATTTACAGTAATATCTATTAATCTCATCCCCCTAATATTAAACACTCCCCGGAAACCATGGTTTAGTGAGGGATCTACACATATTTGGGACCATACATTCGGGGTGCGTAATATTAGGGGGATGGGATTATAAAATAGAATTGAATCTATATCCAGTAAAAGTATCGTTAATATGTTCTACAAACTGATGACCAACTCTTGCAAACAAAACATACAATAACAAACAGTAACAACAGAAATATTAACAATAGTGACAGTATAGTAATAATATATTGCCTAATAATTCCCAACTATGGAGCTACCCCCCAAATCATAGCCCAAATACTCCCGCAAAAGATGCTTGGATCCAAAGGGTCTACTGGAATATCATCAACACACACACATGTGTATATATAAACAATATAATATCTATATCTATATCTATATATATACTATGTACACATGTATGTATGTATATACATATTTTAGTAGCTACCTAGAAATAGAAAAGCACAGTGTCTAGTGTTAAATAGTTTCACTCTTCGAAACAACGCTTTTCTTACTTGCGTTGTCTTGTGTTATTTTTTTTCTGCAAAAACAACAAAACAACAAAAACACCCTTTTCAAACCAAAACGCTTGTTTTCTTCCACTAAACAAGCTACTGCCTCCTTCCTGCTGACCAACGACTTTTGACGAAAGACTAGTGAAAGTTAGTTTCTGACCAAACAAAACAATGTCGATATTGGCTGCATTACAATAATTCACCAACCTAAAAAGAACTGTTATTATTCGGCCATCTGGGGATGATTCCCCATGCATTCAATTTCATTCCAGTGACGTCACGACGTGAGGTCACAACATAATTCGTCCAGATTAGGAACATCATCATTCACATTTATCATTGATGGTAATTACCATTACCATATGGTTATTTAACATAGCCATGGAAAATCCCTTATAAATGGAGGTTTCAATGGGAAAATCATCTATAAATGGGGCCATTTTCCATGGCTATGTTAAATAACCAGAGGGTAGTTCCATTCATAACGCATTCCAATGCTTGGAAACCGATTCATGCAAATACGTCACGACGCTAGGTGATGATCAAATTCATCGAGAAACCTGTGCAATCCCTATTCAAATCCATGTATTTTTCTACATCGTGATACTGGAGGTTCATAAAATCCCAATATATAGATGGTTTTATGTATATAATTTATATTCTCAAAAAAACACCATATTAGATTGATGGCGTATATCATATCTCTATATACATAAACATTTCGTTATGTATAGATATATATGTGTGTATGTATCCTAAACAAAAATCCCTATTCCCACGCCCTCAACGGCGTCTCAACGACGCACAGACCGGGGCCTCAATCGACACGAAGCGTGGCAGCTCCCATCCGCTGGTGCCGTTGCGCAGCAAGCTGCCCAAGCACTCCAGGTCCGTGCCTGGAGAGTGGAAAATCTTCACCGGAACTGGTTGGTGGTTTTAACCATCTTGAAAAATATTAGTCAATGGGAAGGAAAAAATGTTTGAAACCACCATCCAGGGAAATACTTTGAAATCACCAGAATTACCAACCAACAGGTTACATCCTAATGTATGATAATGTATGGGGGTAATTACCATGGTTATACTGTATGACCTATTAATAATTGATACCTCTGGTAAACGTTTACAGGTTGCTATTGAAAATGGCCTTCGTTGATTTACCCATTAATGGCATGGTGATTTTCCATAGTTCTTTTGTACGAGTTTTTTTGTACGTATGTTTGCCAGAGGGTAACAGGAAACCATGGAATTGTCCCATCAAGAAAGGAGGTGTCCTGTAGATGTTACCTTACACCATATCCAGAATCTCCAGTTGGGAAGTGAAACTAAGTGAAACTAAACCTTGAATGTTGAATATACTATGTATTGAGTGTGTGTGTACATATATATACTTATTTGAATACAACTATGTAGTTTCCATGGGCGCTGCAGGGCACCTGCGTGTTTTGTTGTCTTTTTGTTTTTTGTTTGTTGTGATTTTCTGTATTTGTTTGATGATGGGGTGGGGTCGGGTGGGATGGTAACGTTCATCTTCATGTTACGCTGATTGCGTTACATTGATCATGGGGTGACGTGGGGTGGGGTGGGATGTTAACGTTCATGTTTTGTTACACTGATGATGTTATGTTGATCATGGGATGAGGATGGGTGGGGTGGGTGGGATGTTAGTTCATGTCACGCTGATGATGTTACGTTGGTCATGGGGTGGGGTGGGGTGGGGTGGGGTGGGGTGTTGACTTTCATGTTCATGATACGCTGATGATGTTACTTTAATCATGGGGTGGGGTGGGGAAGGGTGGGATGTTAACGTTAATGTTCATTTTACACTGATGATGTTAGGTTGAGTGTGGGGTGGGGTGGGGTGGGATGTTAACGTTCATGTTCATATTACGCTGATGATGTTGCGTTGATCATGGGGTAGGGTGGAATGTTAACGTTCATGTTCATGTTACGCTGAAATTGTTCCATGATTAAATTAGTTTTTGAGAAGTGAAAAAAAAACAGGCGTGCAAGGCTGCATGAGCAGTTACATTGGGAAGTGCACGCAAACCCCCTTAAAACCACCAGGCGCCTCTCAGCGCCGTTCCCAACTAGTTTTGTAGCTTAGTATATCTATAAGTGAACATTAGTATATATATATATAAGTGAAACTTAGTGTGTGTGTGTGTGTATATATATAAATATACATGGAACCCCCAGCATGAATGTAAGATGACTTTCACTGGGTTTCACCCCATGAATCCCCATGGGCTTTCCATATCTTTCCAAATTTTGGACAGTTTTGGTAAGTTTCAAACGTTTTCATACAGTCTTGCCATCGGGTTGCAGCAACCTTCAAGTGAACGCATAGAACATGTCCCAAAGTGGCATATGTGCAACATCTATGGCAACATGTTCCCAAAACAAATGCGTTTTGAAAAAAAATCTGTACCAACACGACATATTGACAGCAGCCGAAAGTAAGCTCTATAGTTTTGGGTCAATTTAAAGTCAGTCTTCCTTACAATTGAGTCATGTCAAAGCGTTTGAGTCCTCAAACACCACCCCAGTACCCACTGGTTTCCTTCCAAATCAATCTTCACGTACACGGCAGAGTGTTTCACAAACTGGCGATACAGCGCGCCGCAGGATTTTTGCGGCACCCGGGTCATAGTTGCCTTGGTGCTGAATGTTGAAGTCCGGAACGAATAGTGAATAGCCGTAAATTGAACCTAGAATCTACCCTCTGGTAATTTAACATAGCTATTGAAAATGACCATTTATAGTGGATTTTCCCATTAAAAATGGTGATTTTCGATAGGTATGTTAGTTTACCAGAGGGTATCCTTTTCCATCGTTCTTGCGGTTACTAAATCTTCACGACCAATGTGACGTACCCTGCAGAATCTTCCAGACTTCATCCCGGGATCAATGGGAACGCGGCAGCCGAAGCGCGGCCATTTCTACATGTGCAAGCTGAATGTGTCTTTAAAATGGATGAACGTGCACAAACACAACTACTAGTAGCAACAATTCTTATAGGAAAACCATGGTGGTTAAGAATGAACTGGTCCTTTTTTTCCCTCCAGCTGTTGATTTCAGACACCCCCCTATGATCCAACCAGCAACGCCTTCAAGGCCCAGATGCAAGGTGACCTTCAATAAAATTTCAATAGGCTGGAGTAACCCCGTTAAAACCGTGCTGATTTCCCATGAGCTCCCAATTTTTTTTCAAATTACGGGGAGCATGGTGATTAAGAATCAAATTTCAAAGTTTTCGGTTGGTTTTCCCATTGTTTTCTCAGTGTCCCATGGTTTTCCATGGGTGTTCCCCTCATTTCATGGCCAGCCACATCCACCAACGGCGTGTCTTTCCTGGCATCGAAGATGAAGGACTTCTCGGCGTGGTGGTCATCCACCTGGGAGCTGCCGAACGAAGGCTTCGTTACATAACCAGGGTTTAAGTACTGTATGTATATATATATATATGTATGTATGTATGTATGTATGTATGTATGTATGGTTGTATGGTTGTATGGATGTATGGATGTATGGATGTATGCATATAGCATGTATGCATGTATGCATGTATGCATGCATGCATGTATGCATGCATGTATGTTATGTATGCAAAACATATAATATAGAAATATATGTAAATGTATATATAATGTATATGTGTGTATTGCTATGCACTTAATTCCCCAGAATGAAGAACATGTATATTATATATATATTTATAACTATTTATTTATTATACGTATATATATATGCAGAAATATAGTACAGTTAGGATATGTGAGTTTCAGTCGAATCCTTTAAAGTTAGGACATACAGATCAATCGTTCCAGTTGGTGGGGCCTCATTACAACACAACATGGGAGGATGATGCTGATACCCCAAGAATAGATGGTTGAAATCCGCCCTTAGTAGTTCTTTTAAATATGCTTGTTGTTGGTGATTTGATAAGCCCTTAAATGCCCTTAAACCAGCTGAGATCGGAAGAAACATATGATGAATGAATAATGTAGGTTTGAAAGTAGTGGTGGGTTTGGACACCTCCATTTTAGCAGCGTTAGCCGACCCTTGATGATGAATAGTTTCAAGGCAGGTCTTGTTTTCCAAAACAAGCAGCCTACTAAAGAAGTCCGTTCTCTTGGAGATTGGCCTTCTGCACGATTTCATTCAAGAATGCCAGCCTTCCCAAAAGTGACCGTCCCTACCCGGTCTATCCTGCGCGGAGGATTTCAAAAACGTTGATCCATCGCCAGCTTGAGAAATGGGATTCGTAGAAGCGGTTCGATTTGTAAAGTGTGTGGTTAAGATTCGCCCTCAACCTATCATGTGGCTGTGAAGTTCTCGTAGCTCCAACTGGCTCTTCATGTTTCAACATGTTTCACCGGAAAATGGCCGGGACTAGCTCCAGCTAGCTCGCCACTTCCATCCCATTTTTCGGACAATATAAGGACTAATGTGGGTACAATAATAAATCATCCCCCAGTCATCACCATAAATAAATAGGTGGTATGTTTAACATGTTTACCATTCCCAGTCATGGGTGGTTTATGGCATTGTTTTACCCACATTAGTTAGATATCCCATGATTATCCCATGTTTATTCCATGATTGTTCCTACTATTATCCCATATAACTATGTTTTACCATTTTTGCCCACTACTATATCAACCATCATTAACCAACATCAACAATCATTAACCATCATTTATCAACCATTATCCCATAAAAATGACCACTATTTACCATTGTTAACCATTGTTAACCATTATTAACCACTATTAACCACTGGTAATTTAACATAGCTACTGAAAACGGCCATAAACATAGTTGATTTTCCCATTCAAAATGGTGATTCTCCATAGTTATGTTTAACAGAGGGTAAATTTATATAATGGGTCACTATTGATAGATTAACCACTATGAAAATCACCATTTAATCACCATTAACTATCATGTCAGCTCCTATGTTTGCCCAATTTTTGACCGAACGATGCCCGAGCTCGGCCTGAAACTCCACCAGCGCCGGAACGGAACAGCCCCCTGTGGCCTCGGTGCAGGGGAAATGGCGAAAGGTGACCCCCAACAAAAAGATGACATAGGGGAGCTGATGATTCTGAATGATCATATATATATATATATAATACATATATATATATATGGGAGCTATGTGTATATTTATATATACAAATCACTATACATATATATATATATATATACACGCACACACACACATATATATATATATGAAATTATGTGGAATTATAGTGACTATTTGACTATGCGGAAATGGTGCACTATAATATAAAAAAAACAATTCAACAATTATAAACATACATATCATGGAATCATGTAATATATATATATATATATATTCATTTAATGGGATGCAATGAATCTTGTAAGAGCCCCCCTGGGGGCTTCTATCAAGCTGACACAGGAAAAATGGAAGTCTGCCAAGATAAGGATATCGCTGATATAGCCCATATAGCTCCCGCCAGTTCAACAATGTTAAACAATCTAACGAATCACATGCTGCAATTTCATGAGCTCATATCAGTTCCAAACATTGTGACCCGCCCAATCGACATTGGAAAGCTTTAAGGAAGCTCAACGTTCGTCCCAGAGGCTGCGTGGACCATTGTCAACGCCTTGGTGTGGCACCGAGTAACTCAACAGCAGTATGGAAAATGTCCCATTTACTTCGATCATTGACCTATGAAGATGATTTTCCATAGCAAACTGTTAGTTTACCAAAGGGTATACAGGACATCATGGTGAGCTGACGTGTTTGGAACCCACAACATCCCACAACCATACTGGAAAGCAATGGGATTGGGTCACCAGGCTAATAGCATATTGTAACTTGTGACCTTTCAAAAAAAAAGAGCAAACAAATCTGAATAAAGAACCAACACGCTCAATATCGAGTCATGTTTCGATATATGTTTGAAAGTTGTGCAGGCAGTTTCTCTGATAAGGAATGTGACAACTTCAGGTTGGTACAGTCTACAAGAAGAATCCCCCCGCAGACATCTCCCCATTTTCAGTGAAAGGCACCCACCAGTCAATATAGGGAAGCCACCTAAAGCCAATGTTTGTTGAAGCTGGTGTGCCCATGGATTGGTGTGTCAACCCATCTGAAACAAAAATCAACTTGGGATCATCATCAATGATGGTGGAAACAAAAATGATTGGAATCACAAGCCAGGTTAGTTATATGTGTATAATTTATTTGATTATATGGCTGTTATATATATATAATTAATAATAATAATAATTTATCAGTTATGTTCATGATAAATCATTGATTACAATCAATTGGATTAGTTATTATATATATACATATTGGTTGTATGATCTATATCCATTACCTCTCATTGATGATGGCCAACAAATCCTGTTTGGTGGCTGGCACCACCATTCTTGCTTTCCCCCATTTTCATCCATTTTCCAGATCATGATTTTGGTTATAGTTATATCTTCTATCTCTACTTTGTCCCATGAAAATCCAACATTTTTCCATCTGATTCTACCCTTGCGACATCTTGCGACCGCCGCCTGGGAGCCAAGTGTCTGAAGCGATGGGCGACGTCTCCTTCGCCATCCGCTCTCTGAAGTACTGCAAGGCCACCGCGTTGCCTGGATCTAATTGGGCCATTTGGAGGCCATGAAAAACATCCCAGGTCTACCAACCATTTGGAGGCCATGATACTAAATATATACCAAATATATGGGTAGTATATGGTTAGTATCATCCCTTAAATAGCTGCCCAATGAGTTTCCCAATGCAAAACTCACCTGTTGGATCCGTTTGGGGACCCCAAGGGCGAACAAAGTCAGTTGCTACCGTTTGGGCGGTGACTACTATTAGGGGGAACGGGTCAAACATATGTTGACAGATGTTGACATATTGGGGTTTCCATAATTGGGGAATCACCAAAATGTTTTTTCTTTTTAATGGAAAATCCTACTAAAATGGATGATTTGGGGGTACCCCCAGTTCAGGAAACCTCCTCTTACTGTAACCCCAAGCCCCCCATTTGGAGGATCTTCCAGCTTAGCAGCTGGTGAATAACCCTTCGTGATTGTAAGTCCCGCATTCGTGGGTTATCCAATGTATAACTTGGTTAATACACACCAACAAGACCATCCAATTGTTTTGTTTGGTTAATAACACCCATTGATTAGTTGGACAAGATCATAAACCCTACTACTTTTGCTTGTTATGATCCAACTTAGCTACCTACCATCCCCCATATCCCCCCACCAACTTCTCCTTAACACACCCCCAACCCCAGTTAGAACGCGGTCTCCCTGCCCCAAAAAACCGCGCAAAACAAATCACTACTAAGTTTAGATTTACCTACCATATAGCAACCCAAAGAAAAATACGCAGTAATTGGACACTTGGAAATTATGGAGGACACATCATGGCTCATTAACATTTACACATGTGGGAGGATCACATTCCAAAAAGCATCCTAAATCGTAAAATTCCCCCCAAAACCACAGCTAGTATCAGCGAGTTGGTTTCAGGTATTAGGGAGTCTCTGGATAACTGCAGAAAAACGCAGAAATCTCAAAAGATGGCGATTGGTCAAAAACCATTATGACCCTCCTTGGGGGAATAACCATCCCAACTCAAGGGTACAATGTGGGTAAAACAATCATAAATAAATACCCATTTGGGAAAGGTCAACATACCACCTCTAAAATGGTGATGACTGGGAGATGGTGCAGATGGCATGGTTTTAGCCACATTAATATCAACCATCATTAACCATCATCAACTATCATGAACCATCATTTATCAACCATTACCCCGTTAATGACCACTATTTGCCATTGTTAACCACTATTAACCACTATTAATCACTGGTAATTTAACATAGCTATTGAACATGGCCATAAAAATAGCTGATTTTCCCATTAAAAATGGTGATTCTCCATAGTTATGTAAACCTGTACCAGAGGGTACATGGGTCATTATTGATAGATTAACCACTATTAATCACCATTTAATCACCATTCACCATCACATTAACCACTATTAACCATTATTATCCAGGTTATTAATCATTAATAGACCATTATTTTCATAGATTATTAACCATGGATTTATGAAAACCATTCTCCATCCAGCCCCGCCTTCCACGGCCAACACCTGCAGCCCCTGGCGCAGCATCATCTCTGCATCCACGCCTTGCGAGGCGCCCAGGTCCAAGCCCGTGGCGCCCTCGTGCCATTCGACGGCCGGGGCCGCTGCCAGGGGCCTCAACACACGGCATTCACAACGCTTCCACCAGGTCGGTTGTAGCGGCAAAAACGTGGAAAACACCATGGCAATTTAGAGATGGGGTGGATTTATGTTGATTTTATAGACTTCAGATGACTCAACATTGAAGCATTGAAACAGTAGACTCAGTATAGACACTGTGAAGGTTGATGGATTTTACTGTGATGGTCATGTTGCGTCTTTTTAGCACCAGGGGAACTTGCCTGGGATATATTGGACGAGGATTAGGGAAGTCACCAGCATTTGCCCATCATTTACATATGTTAATGTTTAGGTAAGTAACCAGCATTGAACCAACATTTGGAATATCGGATAGATTCGATGATTATCAACACTTGGAACATTAGGCGGCTTGGTCGTTCACTTTTTTGGACAGCAGGACCTCCTCTCAATCACCACAGCAAGGTATTTCTTAGGTGGCTTATAGATAGGTCAAAACACGACAAACTATACAGCAAAGGGCCCCGAACGATGTACATGGGCGGGTTATTCCATGTGGAATAGAAAACCGACAACCACTTCACTAAAGGCCCAAGGCCCACTCGGCCCTTCGCTTCGCTGCCTTTGTGGCTCGCCGCTGAAGTGCCGGTTCTGAAGGCTGTACAGCAACCTGCGACTCAAAAAAACCTGAGATGGCAACAAAATTCCTCGCTCTGAGGGAGGTTTGCCAGAAATTATGTAGGAAACCCACGGGAAACCATAGCGTTTTTTGAGAAACGCAAGACAGTGAGTTTGTTTGATCACTAAGGTGTTTGGGGAACAACATCCAAAATGCAACATGGGACGGACCTGATGTACTGCAGCTGATGCCAAGAAATTCCCACCGCGGCAAACAGGCCACCGAAGGGCCTCAGAGTCTAAGCAAGGATCTGGCAGCAACAGGAAGCAGGGATCTACTTGTGTATGGTCAAATATGGTTATATTTGGTTTATACAATACGAACTATCGAAATGCTGGGGAAAATGGTTGGTCTGAAAGCCTATGAACGTATATGTACATTGCCTCGCAAGATATGTTCCATTCTGGGGACCCAAATGTAAATCCTTTCTGGGTGCTTAACTTTCCCGTCCTTTGCCAAGCCGCCCTTCGAATAGGGTGCAAGGACCGACATGAGATCATTTTTCTATGATATGTTTAAAGTCGTCCCGCAATGTGCAAGTTCTCAAGTGTGGCGGTTGTCATCACAGCACCCCTGGTTTGGGTAAAGTTGCGGGATTTTATGTTTTTTTTTCTGCTCCCGGTCTGAAGGTGCCTGTTGGTTTGGGGTTTCTCACCCACGCTCTTGAAGGCGGTTCTTCCCATAAGATTTCCCCTCTTAAGTTTACTTGGTATCGTCCTTGATTCCAACGGAATTTGATGTTTCGCACGGCGCTCAGCTACTCGGGAGGTGCGTGGACGTGAAGGAAACCCCCATCTTTCTGGAAACAAAAACGTGGTTTTCTATTGGTTTTCCCTGGTTTTCCTATTTAAAAAACTTAGATTCTCAATTAATTTTCCACCAAACAAAATATTAAAAAAAAAAAAACGTTGTTTCCCATTGATTTTCCACCAAAAAAACATAAACAACCATAAACAGCCACAAACAACCATAAACAACCATAAACAACCATAAACAACCAAGGTTTCCCATGGAATTTCCCGAATCCCAATAGTTTTCCATAGGTTTTCCTACAAAAATCAGTGATCCCAACTCGTTCCACGGCTAGGGCGCTTCAACTCGGCCTCCGCTTTTTCCAGGACCTCGAAGGGCTCCGAGGGCAGCAGCTTATCCAGCGTCAGGAAGGTCAGGTAGTGCCTCGGGCGGAATGCCTTGGGTGTATGTGATGTTACATATATATATATATATGTATATAATTGTATATATATATATAAATGCATTGGGTGTATGTGATGGTTTATATGTCACATGTTGATAAAAATGATATGGTTCAGACTGGTTATAACTATATAGTGATGACTGACTCAAACTTCTTATAACGTGATATTAAGTTATATACTCAACCAAGGTACTCTTTCATTGTTAATCTATTAATTATATGGTTAATCTAAATCTAATGATAATTGTTAACCAAGGTAATCATTAATGCCTTGAATTATATGGTTAATCTAAAAATAAAGATTAGCATGTGGCTAATCTCCCCATTGGATGAATTGTTTATACTATTATATATGGTTATGCTTTGTGTGTGATGAACCATTGTTACTTTATGGTGATGACTGACTTAAATTCCTTGTAATGTTTTTAGTTGCACTATAATCGTGATGTTACTTAATGTTACTTAGTGCCATAGGATTAACAATCAACCATAGGAATTAAATGGGCTTTATTTGGGATTGTGATTTAATGTGGTAAACCCAATACTGAACCTACCATACGGAGGTGATGGTTACTCATTTGTGGTGATATTGGAAATTATTATTATTATTGTTATTATTATATTAAAATAGGGTTTTTCACTTTAGCTGTCATATGGTGAGGTACTTACTTAAGTACTCGATATTAGATTTAACTTCTTTACTATGTTATATGCTGAAAGTATGATGTCATAGAGTCATACATAATTTGACCTTACTATATCGTTTATACTCGTAAAACACATATTTATTATATGGTTAAACTAACAGAAAGGGACGCTCTCAGTCCCCACGTTTCTCAGTCCCCACGTTTCTCAGTTCCCACGTTTCCACATGTCTGGACAGACGACGTGACAGATTACATATGAATCTTTGTTAGGAAAAATGTTATGTCTACGGAATTCATGCTTATGAATCTGTAGTGTCACTAACAAGCAGACTTGAGGAACACCTGACTCTGATTATATTTCTAATTCACATGAAAGAAAGAGCCACACAGAAAACAAACGAAAAAAAAAAATGTGTTTTTTTTTTTGGGCTGACCCCCCCCTTTACCTCTCCCAAGACGGCCTATAGAGCAAACCCAGATATATTTTTTCTTGTCGTGGAGCTTCTTACATTTGTGTTCTGTTCTTGTTCTTGTTTCTTGCTATTTTTCTTGTTTCTGTGGATATCTCATATGCTTACCTGATGCGTCCTGATAATTTGCTTTGAAGAGTGTTTGCAAACGCAACGGACAGGCGTATAAACTAACAAGGTAGACATACCATAGAAATCCCATAAGAACCCAGTGGAAATCATATAAGAATAACATATGAGACTGTAGCAGATAACATGGCCCAGAGAGCCACCTAGAGCCACCAAGATAGCCCAGCTAGGGGAGGGGAGGAATCATCTGAAAATATCATAGATATAACATAGAATTAGTATAGGTACCACAAAGAAATCCCATAAGAATATCATAGATTTCCCTCAGACATCTCATAGGAATTCCATAGAAATATCATAGACATACCATAGAAATCCCATAAGAACCCACTGGAAATCCCATAAGAATACCATACGAGGCTGTAGCAGGCAAGATGGCCCAGAGAGCCACCTAGAGCCACCAAGATAGCCCATCTAGGGAGACACTGTCCTGTCTCCTATTCTGTTTGATTGGTCTCTGCCCCATAGTAAGCAGACTGGGATCCCCTCCATTGCTTCGATATCCCATGGCCTTGACAAGAAAACAAAAGGAGAACAGGTATAAAGGGAACACGAAGAATAAGATGATAAAAAATCTGGATGGCTCTCTGGGCTATCTTGCCTCAAGCAATGTCATCTGTCTCTAGGTGCCTCTCTGGGCTATTTTGTCTATTACAATGTTGTCTGTCTCCAGATAACTCTCTGGGCTATCATGTTTGCTGCACACTCGTCTGTACCTTGGAGGCTCTTTAAGCCTTTGAGATCCCTTTCCTTTGACACTCCTTTGCTTTGGCATCCCCAATATGTAGCATAGATTTTGTTTCGTCATTATTTGAATTCAAATGCGATTTAGGGTATGTGCCGCAGTATATAATTTTAATAAAAATGTTCATATTATGTCTTAACTTGATGAACTTAGAATAAACTTTGTCATATCTAGAACCATACTTAATCAGTAAGAATTTATTTGAAGAAATAAAATAAATGCATTAAAAATAACAAAAAAACAGCTAAAAATGACGTAAAAACTGGGGACCCACAACGTCCCGCACTCTAAACTAAATGGCCGGATGGTGATATTGTACGGTTATATGCAGTTATATGGTTTGTACTCAACCTTATGATGTTGTATTATAAGGATATGTTTACGTAATTTTACTAATATAGTCATAGTATTTTTAAAAAAAGTACACATCCCTTGCAATTGACTGACATCGCGGAGGAAATCACCAACTGGGGGGCCCCATCTTGGATGCTTAGTATGGATTCTTGCCAATCAAACATATAGCAATTGAACATCCTCTTGGAATGGAGGTGTATGGCTGGGAAAATCATCGAACTAGCTGTTACAATTCCACATAGTGCGTAACATCAAGTACATATGTACACATACAATAATATTGCTGGTATGTCTCATATAAATATTGTCTTAGGCAGTGCATTGGGTACTGAATAGTGTGGGTATAATACATGTAACATTTGGGCAAAAGATGTGCATCATGATGTCATGACAAAAATACATACAGATCATATAGGATCATATAGGTATATGATTATGAATCGAACATATTCATATGTGTATTTATACACCTATGGGCTACATGTAGATAGATTGATCCGTTATACCCTGCTAGCTCACATTGGGCCGCTGTTCGCCTTCTCACTTGGAGATACCAAACAAAAGAATATCTGCTGTTTGATTTTTTTCAAGTACAGATTGCCTACTGTGCCTCATGCCGGGAACCTTTTCACAATCACACATGGCTTTACCATACCCCAGTGTAAGCTTTTGGAGCCATCACAACCTGACTATTGAACTCACTATCCATAGGTGGGTGGAGGGGAAGAGTCCGTGGTGTTAGTTTGGAATACATAGGTATCCCCAAATGTCAGGAACACGGTATAACAACACCAGAAGATCAAGCTAAAATAGCGGTAAACTAGGGTAACAAGTGGTAACTGTGGTAAACTGGTGAACTAATCGTCTTCACCATTTATATTTCTGCTGGGGTGTAGGACAGTTAGAAACTTGGACACTTTGAGTTAAGCTCAGGACAGTTGAATCCTGTGGGAACCACATCTTAATCTTATCCCTTGGCAAATCAAATGTAGCTATTGAAAATCCACCATTATTAATAGGAACATCAACGATCATCCCACAAAATGACAAAAAAAAACAGATCTATCCAGAGTTGGAGGCTAGTTGGATGGGCATATACATATACATGGACCGTGGTGCGAAAAACAGGTCATCTACAGCGTTGCTGTAGATCAAGACCACTGGGAGGACAAAAGCTGACCATCCAAGTTGCGGTCATCACGGGTAAATGACGTGGGCCAGATGTGAAGCCTAGCCTATGTGCGTTGAAAAATGTTGTCCAGATGGCTTAAGGTGAGATTGTGCGATTGAGATCCACCTTTATCTCCCATGATCATCCCAATATCATCCCATTCGCCCACTAAAAATCTCCATGAAACACCGGAAAAAAAACAGTACACTTGATGCTTAAATCGCATTAGACCCCATTAAATCCCACTAAATATCAATTAAATCCCATTAAATACTTATTAACTCACCTTAAATCCCAATAAATATTCATTAAACATCCATTGAATACCATTAAAACCCATTAAATGTCCATTAAATCCCACGAACTCTCATTAAACATCCATTAAATATCCATTAAATACAATTAAATACCTATCAACTCAACTTAAATCCCAATAAATATTCATTAAACATCCGTTAAAAACTATTAAATGTCCATTAAACCCCATGAACTCTCATTAAACATCCATTAAAACCATTAAATGCCCATTAAATAGCCATTCAATCTCCATGAAAACCATCATGTCTCGATGCCATCGCCACCATCGCCAGTCCGACACTTTTTTCCATTGCCGAATGGCTCCAGGATTCGCATCAAGGCATAGCCAATGGGACATTTGCGCGTGGGAATCTGAGCGTGAAGTGCTGGGCTTTGAAGTTAGGGGAAAACAAATGGGCTTATCAGTTATGGCCCTTTGCAATGGTATATGAATAACTGTTAATGTGAATGGATGTTACTGGAAGTTAGCCCATATAACTTAGATGTGAATATTCATATTGTTATGGCCCATAGACCTTAGATGTGAATAACTTCCATTAATGACTTAACAATGAGATACAATGGGCATGGGCATATTTCATGATATAGATTGATATAGAACCAACTAGTTATATCATGGTAGTGACATAGAACCATATAGAACCAACTAGTTGCCATGGGCGCTGCAGAGCGCCTGGGTGTTTTGTTGTCTTTTTGGTGTTTGGTTTGTTTGTTCGTTTGTTTTTTTCATGGGGTGGGTTGGGGTGGGGTGGGGTGGGATGTTAACGTTCATGTTCATGTTACGCTGATGATGTTACGTTGATCATGGGGGGTGGGATGTTATATAACGTTCATGTTCATGTTACGCAGACGCTGATGATGTTACGTTGATCATGGGGTGGGATGTTAACGTTCATGTTCATGCATATGTTACGCTGATGATGTTACGTTGATCATGGGGTGGGGTGGAGTGGGGTGGGATGTTAACGTTCATGTATGTTCATGTTAATGTTAGTTACGCTGAAATTGTTCCATGTTTGAAATAGTTAGTTTTTGAGAAGTGAAAAAGCAGGCGTGCATGGCTGCATGCGCAGTTACAGTGGGAAGTGCACGCAAACCCCATTAAAACCATCAGGCGCCTCTCAGCGCCGTTCCCTAGACGTTAGATGTGAATAACTTCCATTAATGACTGAGCAATGGGGTACAATGGGCATATTTCATGATATAGATTGATTTAGAATATATGACCAACTAGTTCTATAATGATAGTGACTTAGAACCATATAGAACCAACTAGTTATATAATGATAGGGACATAGAACCATAGTTTACAACAGTCATGATGATAAAATGATATAGAACCAACTAGTTAGATCATGATGTAGAACCCTGGTATAATGAGCCGAGCAATAACCCACTGGTTCGAAGAGTTATTTCATTCCATACAAATAACCGTTAGTTCCTCCACTGTAATGAATCAAAATGTTGCTTTAGGATCATCAGTCAGATGAGATGATTGGAATCTCTGTTGGAAGCCTCCAATCCTCCAAAATCCCATATTTCTTCGGTGTCGAGACAAGAGGCCGATTTTCGGGTACCGCCTCCCTAATGAAAATGGGGCCGGCCCACCACGAGACGTTTTCTGTTTCACAAAATCTCGAGCATTCTTGGAATTCTGCTGCTAGGTTGAATACATGAAACCTTTGAATTTGAGTTTAGATACTTTGGTTTGAAGCCAGACCTCTCTCCAAGCCCTGTTTTTTAGTTCAATTGTTCTTCAGTTTTATTTCTTTAAGTGGGAGTCATCTGTAAACAGCATTTCGGCCAAATATCAGTCTACTCAAAACTCTCGGTTTGGATTGGCAGCCCGTCTCATTTGCATGGTTGCATGCCAGGTTTGGTGACGTCGTTGCTTTTACCCAATCCCATTGCCATCCTTATTTGGCTTTGGGTCAAACACCATTCAACACCAAACGAAACAGTCTGCTTGCAATGCCATTCCCTTTCACAAAACAGAGTTACACATTTTCGATAGCCCAAGACACTGACCAATGCTGGAAACTTTGTCGAGCTTTTCTCTTACCGAAGTCGAAGTCGTAAAACCAATTGAGGATCCTGGGCATTTCAGTGGTCCACGAGTCCACGAAAACCCGCTTCGGAACCAGTGGCTCCTGAGAAGTTGGTGACGGTCCTACATCCAATTGGTGGTACAACTGTTTCTGTTGGTTAAACGGTTAAACCACCATGGTGAAATCCCTGAAATCCCTGAAATCCCGAAAAATATGGTACCCTGGTGTACGTTTGAACATTTGGAAGCGACACACACACACCAAAAAAAAAATCAAATGGCCGAGGCCTGGCGTTCACGGCCCACATGACACCACCTATGGACAGAGGTGGCATCAGATGTGACGAATGCCAGAGATGGAACAGTGAACCATCCTAAATATTTAGAGAGTAGCCACCAACAAGATAGAAAAGTGCTCTGTCGTCTATCACCATTTTATACTATTTTCGTGGGATTGATAACATGTATTGCTGCATTTTCTGGGTTGCTATAAGTAAGTATGAATACACGTATGAATATAAATAAACCTATATACACATATATGTATCTATATAGTTTCTATATGTGCAAATGTATCTATATATGTGTGTGATATATAACTTGGAGACCTGAAAATCACTCTAACCTTAAAAAGGAGCCAGAATTGAAATAGAGGATAGCACTTCCAAATTGTCTGAATGTTATTCCATTTTCTTGCAAAGGCTTGCCGCCCTCTGATACTACAACGTGACAATGCAAACTGCCTTGGACATGAACATATTTTCCTGGTGAACGTCGAACGTTTTGGAAACACCTCCTTCTTTGATCAAACTGTATCAGATTAGAAACCCTCTGGTAAAGTAACATATGAAGATGGCCATAAAAATTGTTGATTGCCCATAAAACATGGTGATTTTGCATAGCTATGTAAACGTTTACCAAAGGGTACATCTCTTGGATTCTTTTGGTGGGAATCCCCGGTGGGTTGGTCTTGTCCCTACCGGGTTTTAATGGCACTTTGATGGCATTAATAATGATTAATACCATATTTGCAACACCCCCCAAGACAGTGATGACAATGATGTGATATTAGTGGTTATGTACCTCATCTACAAATAGTCTTAAAACTTAGCGTGCTACCCACCTACGTATTTTGATGGCTTTTCGAGTTGTTAGGTTCAAAAATATATGTTTTGCCCTCCATGGTCTCCCAGTGACGCCACAAACCGCCTGTGATACGCAGCTTGAAAAGGAAGCTCTGCCAGCTCGCAGCCTGGTGTCACTGGAACTGCAGCCTCCAAGTAGCACCCCCCAACATCCCCAACCATACCAGATCATACGAGCTTAATCATCTTAGTGCCTTTCGCCATATTAAAAGACTCCATCCAATTTTTGCCCCCAATTCGACATCCGAAGCTAAACCAGGCTTTCGTCCTGGTCTCTGGAGGAGACACCCTTCCTTGCACGATACTCATCCCTCTCTCATGGAGTATCAAACATGCTGATGTGTAACCATCTGCAACAAATATATGACCCATACAATCCAGATTGGCGCTGGGTTTTTTAGCCGATAAATACGGAATACAGTGTGCAGATGTTATTTTTCGACATATCTAGATGCATCTTTTCTTGGTGTTTTTGATTGCCCTTCCAGAAAACGGGGAGATGCATGGACTTTCCGTTGTTTTCCCATCGAAGCGTATGGAGGTAGTACGCAAACCAACAGCCATTGGGGATACATTCATAAACCATTCATATACAATGAACACACAGAACAAACAAAAACACATCTACAACATCTACAATCATTGTGGATTTGGGCAACCAATATGATGTTGAAACCGTTTAAAATACCAATCCATACATAGGTTCGCTGCTCCCAAGTTCCAACGGACGGAGATTTTAACAGCATCTGGTACCCAGTTGACCCAGAGAAAATCGAGTGGTACCTCCAGCATTTGTACAGTACATAATGTTGTGTATTTGGGAATGGCTCAGAAATAAGATGCCCCAAAACTATAGATATTACTGATATTTTGAAGGGACAGCGAAGAAAATAGAAACACACACATTACCAATATGTTAGAACTGGACTGACCCCATTTCTGCATCTTTTTCGAGGTTGCTTTACATATCCACAAGTACTGTTGGCTATACCATAATATCCCCATGGCCCATGTCCCATTATTTTCATGGTTTTCCAGTTTTCCAGTGCCCCCATGGATTTACCAATGGATTTTGCACCATTTCCCTTCATTTCCATCTTCGAAAGATTCTTCTATAAAGTTCCATTCCAATCTGTGCTTTCTCCCTATGACGGAGTGCCTGGCAGCCATTAAAGAGGTGCGCCACGGGTGGTGGCAAGGATCGGACATCCATCTGGCGCCACGACTTCGAAGGCAAAAAGGTGGGATTCGATTTTAGCATATAGCCAGCATTTTCATGAGTAATTATCTGTGTAGGACTGTGCAATTATGTGACCAAACTATCAGCTACGTAGCAGCTACGTATAAACTAGGTGGATGAAGATATGATATGGGGACATGTGCTTTACATAAGGTGGGTTCTGCCATCAAAAACCAACATTATCATGGTGAGGGGGTTAACCATCAACAGGTGGGATTTGACCAATTCAACTATGATATGAGGTTGTCCAGGGATAAGGGGTTAAACCAGCCATAATGAGGGTATCATGGGATGTAACTAGTGGATATTCTGCTTTTGAGTCATGTTAACCCTGGTTTCATGACACGAAAAAATCACCAAATATTAAATATACAATATCCAAATGTTCAATCGCACTTATATTTAATTATACTTGGACCAAATACCCCAAAAACTGTGGTAATATGTATTTATATATATATATATTTATTCATACACCAACTTTTCTTGATTTTTGTGGCTACTTGGATGGTCTCGGACATCGCCCAGGATGGAGCCACGGAACCATCGCCATTGCCATCTGTCGTCACATCGAAGCTGGTTGGTGGTCTTAACCCATCGAAAACAAGATGCAGCCCACGAACCCGAATGCTCACACGTATGGTTATGGTACAGATGTCGAAACACATGGATATGCAGTCACGCAGAACACTGTTCTGCAATAGTTTATTTGAACAGTCTTGTACATAATTCCCCTGTTACCAGTCCGCAGTGTGGAGTGGAAAGTGTAGAGTGTGGAGTGTGGAGTGGAAAGTGTAGAGCGTGGAGTGTAAAGTAAGGAGTGTGGAGTGTAAAGTGTAGAGTGTGGAGTGTAGTGTGTGTGTAAAGTGTAGAGTGTAGAGTGTAAAGTGTAGAGTGTGGAGTGTAAAGTGTAGAGTGTGGAGTGTGGAGTATAGAGTGTGGAGTGTGGAGTGTAGAGTGTGGAGTGTGGAGTGAGGAGTGTGAAGTGTAAAGTGTGGAGTGTGGAGTGGAAAGTGTAGAGTGTGGAGTGTGGAGTGGAAAGTGTAGAGTGGGGAGTGTGGAGTGTAAAGTGTAAAGTGAGGAGTGTGGAGTGTGGAGTGTGGAGTGTACAGTGTGGAGTGGGGAGTGTGGAGTTTGTAAATTGTAGTGTGTGGAGTGTAGAGTGTGAAGTGTAGAGTGTAAACTGTAGAGTGTGGAGTGTAGAGTGTAAAGTTTAGAGTGTCGAGTGTGGAGTGAGGAGTGTAAAGTTTAGAGTGTGGAGTGTGGAATGTGAAGTGTAAAATGTGAAGTGTGGAGCGTGTAAAGTGTAGAGTGTGGAGTGTGGAGTGTAGAGTGTGGAGTGTAGAGTGTAAAGTGTAGAGTGTGGAGTGTGGAGTGTAAAGTGTAGAGTCTGGAGTGTGGAGTGTAAAGTGTAGAGTGTGGAGTGTGGAGTGGGAGTGTGGAGTGTGGAGTGTAAAGTGTGGAGTGTGGAGTGTGGAGTGGTAAGGAGTGTGGAGAGTGGAGTGTAAAGTGAGGAGTGTGGAGTGTAAAGTGAGGAGTGTGGAGTGTAAAGTGTGGAGTGAGGAGTAAAGCGCAAAGTGTGGAGTGTAAAATGTAAAGTGTGGAGTGTAGAGTGTAGAGTGCAAAGTGTAGAGTGTAAAGTGTAGAGTGTGGAGCGTGGAGTTTAAAGTGTGGAGTGGGAGTTTAAAGGTCGAGTGAGGAGTGAGGAGTGTAAAGTGCAAAATGGAAAGTGTGGAGTGTAAAGTGTAGAGTGTGGAGTGAGGAGTCTAAAGTGTTAATTGTCGAGTGTGGCGTGTAGAGTGTGGTGTGTGGAGCTTCCCCCATAGACGCGGGGATGCCACAGGAAAACCAGAGACTCGAGACGAGACACGTGGGCGCAGAAAAATGAACATTTCGTGCGAGACTCCCTCCAATTTTGACATTTTCGACACGTTATCAAACAGGTTGGAATGTCACAAAGTGCTACGCCTGCCACGCAAAGCGACATGACAACCTGCTTGGAAACCTTCGAAAAGGAGAGGTTTTTGCAGCTTCCCCCATAGACACGGTGACGCCACGGGAAAACCAGAGACTCGAGACGAGACACGTGGGCGCAGCAAAACGAGCATTTCGTGCGAGACTTCCGCTAAGTTTGACACTCTCGACACGTTATCAAACAGGTTGGAATGTCACAAAGTGCCACGCCTGCCACGCAAAACGACATGACAACCTGCTTGGAAACTTTCGACAAGGACATGTTTTGCAGCTTCACCCATAAACACGGCGAGGCCACAGGAAAACCAGAGACTCGAGACGAGACACGTGGGAGACGCAAAACGAGCGTTTCGTGCGAGACCTCCTCCAATTTTGCCACTTTGTAGCTGCAAAATCGACGTTTTCCTACGAGTTTTCCTAGGAACCTCTAAATTTGCTACCTCAAAATCAATGCTTCGTGGGAGGCTTCCGGTCATTTTCAGCACATCTCACAAAATGCCACGCCTATCACTGAATCTGCACTTGACGCAGCCCTGCCAATGCGATTCGCAAAAAACACGCAACACGACACGTGCGCCTGCCACGAAAACTGCAACGCATCTTCTGGAAACGTCGCAAAAGTATTGCGCCTGCCACACAAAACGACTTTCCACACGTTACAAAAAACGTCTGAATGTCACGAAGTGCCACACCTGCCACGCGAAACGAAGCAACGAGACGTTTGAAACATCCAAAAATGACCCCTTCTGCAGAACTTACCATGGGTACGGCCACATAGCAATCGCGCGAACGGTTGCAAACGGTTGCGGACGGTTGCGAACGTAAACGCAACGTCGAACGAACACACCCTCAACCCGCAGACCCCCAGAGTGAAACGGGAACCCTTGCTACGCACAGGAAACAGGTTTGTCATTTCAACCAACCATCCTTTTTTGGGTATGAAAATCAATAAATAAATAAATAAATAATATATATATATATGTATATGTATGTATATATATATATATCTCTCTCTCTCTCTCTCTCTCCCTCTCTCCCTCTCTCCATCGCCATCTCGATATATGTATGAATATTAAATATTATTGAAACCACCAACCAAACAGAAACAACGGGCCTTGAAGAAAGATCCCTTGGGTCGGCAACAGTCAGATTCATTGAAGTTTTTCCCCAGCCAACAGGACCTGAGATCAACTGATAGCGCGCCAACTATGCAAACGTGTTGTTGACAAAATCATAATCATTGCAAATAGATGCAAATGGGTCCAATTTTCAGGATTCATTCATGCACTTTTGGGGCCCATGATGTTGGACCATACTGCACCTCTCTCTCTCTCTGGCCGTTTTCGGATAAGAGTGAAACCCCGGGCCAACGCAAAGAGACTGACATGAAGGGACCTTAAAAGTAGAGGAACTTCCAACCAACTTCCACACAAAACAAAATCAAAGATAGCAACGGAAAATTGCAAAAATTGGCAATGTCAATTCAACAAATGTTTATGAATTGTGATTTCAAAGGATTCTACGCTCTGTTAAAATTCACCACGTAGCTATGGAAAACCAGCATATCTATACTTTTTTGGGGGGTACATGTATCGAAGATTATCGAAGTAAATGGGCCAGTTTCCATAGGTTTGTATCCAACTACCGGAGGATGTCATTTTCGAAAAGGTGCGGGAAGACTCCGGTCGAAGAGCGTCGGCCAACGGAGAAACCTCCAGCGGCTAGGCAAAATGTGACAATGTCATGGAACGGAAATTAAGAACATCATGAAAATCAAATCGTACAGGAACTGGGTGAAATACTGTATCAATCACTGGATGCAATGTTCATATTTGTCTAGTCCGAGCCGGTCTGGTATATCATATAAGTTTCCTGGTAGTGGAGAATTCCTACAGGATGATCCAAGTAAAGTCATTGGATCATTGAAGAGTAGCTTCGGTCCCTTGCGATCTATGCATCATAATGTCAGGTGCAACAACAACAGCAGCAGCAACAACAACAACAACTACTACTACTACAACTACAACTACAACTACAACAGCTACAACAACTACAACTACAAGAACAACAATAACAACTGCTGCTGCTGCAACTACGACTACGACTACGACTAGGAATACGACTACGGCTATACTACCACGACTGTTAATTCCACTTCTACTACTACAACTTGAACTACAACAACAGCAGCATGCAGCATACAATAAGAATAACAACAAATGATATAATAATAACAAAAATGGCCATACGATAAGTATATATGTGGGTTAATTGTATGGAACTGAACAAATACATCTCATTAACATGTATCAACCAACGTAAGTTGTACACCGTAGATGATTGATTATGTATTGCTAGTCTTATCCGGATAACAAGTTATATTGTATTTATCAGAAACATTGGATGGTACCCATCTAATTGGATGATATCATATATTCGATAGATATTATATTAGATTATAGTAGGTTAGGCGAATGGTTGCCTCGGCAATTCATACACCAATCTGCTGTGAATTCGTCCATCCCAGCCTGGGAAGCCCTCCTCTTCCACCTACAAATGCCAAGGGAAAATGCAGAATTTACCGAAGAATGGTGAGATCCAATACTTTACCATGCCTATAGGAGATTCTAGAGGATTCTAAGGCATTTAATTGCAGAATCCCTAGTTGCAAATCCTGACCCAATCATCGATTTGCACACTGGAGGACATCAGCAACACTGGAAGAGTCTAGAAACAGCTTAGATTTCGCGGCTGGGCTGTTGAGAACCTCCCACATCCACAATTCGAACACCAAGCATCTACCGGCAAACCTCTATGCTAGTAACTAGTACCCAAAAAATAAAATATGCTTGCGCTAAATTAATACACAAACATGGAAAATCCAATAGATTTCTCCGAGAAAGCCAGTTTCAGGCTCCGACAAGCCCCGCGGCCTCCACCTGGCCGGCAAAGGTGTTGGGAATGGGAAAGCAGCAGAGCTCGTAGACGCGCCAATCGCCATCTTTCCAGCAACCTGGGCGTGGAAGGCCTGGTTTATCCTCCAGGTTTTTCTGTGGTTCTCAGCTTCTTATGACGGGATATGACAGGTACAAAGACAAGGCTGGGTATGTAAAGTAACGAAACTGGGCATGAATAAGGACACATCAAACCTATACAATCTTAGAGACCCTGCCCACAAAGAAAGCCAATGGTCTTGAAAGGAGATTCCAGTATACCACCCCGTTTATACCAACAAATAACCCACAGTAACCTACAGTACCTTTCACCTTGCGCTGTATCCAAAATAGCACCTACTATCAGCATAGTGAGGTATCATCACATCATAGCCTCACATTTGTCAGATCGTTCCCGGTCATGTTGGTGCCTCATAAAACAGTGGGACTTTCACCTGAACGCATTCCAAAGATAGTTCCCTATACCAAATCCAAGTACACTAAATGGAAGATTTGGGATCCTTGCTTTGACCCAACTGTTCACACTCCAGTGCATACCCCCCCCGAAAAGATTTTTTTAAGCTTCAAAATTGCTCGTTAGCTGCTATGTACTGATGACGATACGTGCATTGAACAACATGGAGGACATGGACAAAAACACCTTGAAACTACCGGTGTGTTTTTCGTGTTTACCGTTTACCCATATAAAGTAGTTTCGGAAACTCTTCTAGCTGCCAAACAACTCGAATTGCCCCAAGTGATGAGCTGCCGCCTCCTCGGTAGGCGCCTCACTTGCGCACACAAAATTGACCCAGCTGCGCACACAGGATTCTGACTCACTTGCACGCACAAATTTTATTCAGTTGTACACACACACACACGCTGCCTTGGGGGGTGGGGTGGGGCTAGTTAACTTCATTATAGGGACACAACCGCTACTAGTTAACTTCATTATAGGGACACAACCGCTACTCCACTTCCTTCGACTTACCATCACACTTCAATCTTGGGGGGTGGGGTGGGGCTAGGGAAGAAAAGGGTAGGATCTACCAGCCACACCCGCTGCTCTTCATCATAGGCTTCCTTCGGCTTACCATCACACTTATTCATCATCATCACCATCACAATCACCATAATCATCACCACCACCACCACCATCATCACCATCATCATCACCGTCAGCATCATCATCATCATCATCATCATCATCATCATCTAATCATCATCGTCATCATCATCAGCATCATCATCATCATTCATCATCTGGTCATCATCATCATCATCATCATCATCATCACCAACATCATCACCATCACCATCACCATCACCATAATCATCACCACCACCACCACAATCATCATCACCATCATCATCACCGTCAGCATCATCATCATCATCACCACCATCATCATCACCGTCGTCATCATCATCATCATCTGCATCATCATCACCAACATCATCATCATCATCACCATCATCATCATCATCACCAACATCATCATCATCACCATCATCATCACCAACATCATCATCATCACCATCACCATCATCATCATCATCATCATCTTCATCATCATCTTCATAATCACCATCACCATCATCATCATCATCATCACCGTCAGCACCATGATAAGCATCAGCATCCGCGTGCACAGCTGTGCTGTTTTCTCGCGTGCACAGCCGAGTCGGGTGTCGTGTGTACAACCGAGGCACCTACCGCGTCCTCGGCTAACACCGCTAAGACAACACTCATTTTTGAGGGGTGCCCATTCGAGCAACGAGGCACATGATAACCATGGCCCAATGGTGTCCAAAGATTCCAAAGGCTGAAGATAAGTTGCATATGAGAAACATATATATATAATATAAATTTATATAAATTATATGCGCGATAATCATTCTTCGAAGTTCTTGTTCTTTGTCAGTCTGCAATGTGGCAAAGCCAAAAATGATCCATTCCGAAAACCAACTATTTCATGGGTCGTAAAGACCGTCACCAACCGGGAGTGTACCATTGGGTTTACCACATGCAGGGATTGCTAATTGTATTAGTTACCGCAGGAAGTTTAGAAGTCAAACTTCCGACAATGTGGACAGATGAAAAGCAGAGATGAGTCAGAGAAGAGAAGAGAAGAGAAGAAAAGAGAAGAGAAGAGAAGAGAAGAGAAGAGAAGAGAAGAAGAAAGAAGATCAAAAAAGAGAAAGCCTCAGAAGAAAGGAGATCCAGGTGCGCGAAAAGGTAAGCAAGTCGCGAAACACTATGTTTTTCCAATGGTTTGTGGCTCTGGAGGGTCGAAAAGTAGGCTCGCTAAAGCGGCGGGTGCGGAGCCAGCTGGCCAGATGAGAGATGAAAAATTGCACGCCGTTGTGGCGCGAAGCAGATTTGCAAGTCAAAATGTACAAAGCACACCATTCACGGACCACTTTTGGAAGTTGTGATGTCGAAAAAGTGCACGCTGTTGTGGCGCGAAGCACGTAACACACCAGGTTCGGACCACTTTTGGAGGTTGAGATGATTAAAATTTGCGCGCCGTTGTGCACGAAGCACATTTCGAAGTCAAAATGTACAAAACACACTATGTTCGGACCACTTTTGGAAGTTGAGATGATGAAAAAGTGTGCGCCGTTGTTGTGGCGCGAAGCACATTTCCAAGTCAAAATGTCAAAAACACCACATGTTCGGACAATTTTTGGACGATCAAATGTCTTTTCGTGTGACAGGGGCAAGGGATTGTGCAGCTTGTCAAAGGCGAGCAAAAAATGATGGTTTTGTAGCAGTTTCAACTACAAGCACCGCTACACTACACTACACTACAACTGCAACTGCAACCACAGCTACAATTACACTACATTACGCTACTCTACACTATACTAACTACAACTACAACTACACCCACACTACACTAATTACACTACACTACAACTACACTCCACTTCGCTTCACTACACTACACTCAATCACACTACACTACAACTACAACTACAACAACTGCAACTACACTACACTACACGACACTACAACTACACTCTACTTCAGTTCACTACACCGCACTCAATTACACTTTACTACAACTACAACTACGACTACAACAACACAACTACACTCCACTACACTCAATTACACCACACTACGCTACACTACACGACACTACATTACACTACACTACACTACTTGCATTGCACTACGCTACACCACACCACACAACACGACACTAACTACAACTACAGCTACAACTACAACTACGCTACTTTACACTACACTACCTTACGCTACCCTACATTACATTACACTGCACTCATTACACCACCACACATGCAACTGCAACTGCGCTACACTAATTCCACTACACCACAACTACAACTCCACTACGCTACAACTACAACTACAGCTGCACTACGCCACACTACATCCAGCAGTTGTGGGTGAGGCGACCGACCAGGTGACCACTGCAACCATTTTAACCACTCCAAAAATAGGCAACTCCAACCACCTTTCAGTCCATCAGTGGATTCGCTCTGCCATCCGTGATTCGCAACAACCAAGCTCTCCTATAGGTTTCCTATTCTGAAACTTTCGCCACCGCCTTGTGCGGTACTACTGGTATTGAAAATCACCACCCATCTATTTGCAATAGAGGTTTCCATCAAATACTTGAGGGCGATGTTCAAAACCCGCCAGAACATGCCAAAACAGGACATCTGCGAGCCTCTGACATTGTCATACATTCTGTCGCTGGTGATGCCGTCAAGACTCTTAGCCAGCAGCAAAGTTCCCAACAGCAGGAACCATGGCAGCTGGTGCCGCATCGTCAGATTTAGTTCACTTCACCCTCCAAAAAAAAGGCAACGTGAAGATCCATATTATTCTCATAGTTTCGTATCTCATGGCTAAAAGGGTTCAATCCGTTCCCCCGCGCTGTGCAAGTGGGGGGTTCCGACAGGGGGAATCCCAAGTCACCATGGGTTTCAATACTTTGACGAAAAATGCCTCCTTGAGATGTTTAGCTTGGCCCTGGAAGCCGAAAAGTGACAATGTCACATCTGGTTAGGTTCCATGTTCAATTTTGGTGGCGCCACTGCATTCTTTTAAACTCTAAACCTCTGATAGGAAGAAACTTGTGAAAGAACCGTCAAAGGCGCAAAGCCCAACTAAACACATTGGCGAATTGGCTAAGTGCTCATCAAATCATTATGTGACACCCGTTTCTGTCTGTGCTTGCACATCCAATTCTGTGGGTTCCGTGGGGTCTAGCTATGTTGAATTGAAGACTGTGAAATAATCTAGGGATATTTAGGGATGGTCTTCCAAGAATTTCACTTCCGATGTTGCAACAAAAAAAAATCGGCTCCCGCCACAGCTGCTTGCCTCTTCATGTTTTTCAGGAGCCACACTCATTTCGAGCCATATGCTTCCGAATCTTCGCGACCGTGGAACCCTTCCATGAAGCTTGGAACGTGGAACGTGGGAAACACAGGTGTCTCCAAAATGTTCGATCATGGGATGCCATGGGCCGCCGATGGGTCAAAATGTGGTACCCCAAAAGTAGATGTCATCAATCTGATGTTTCTTTTTCAGAACTAACTTCCCGGATTAATAAACCCTGGTTGATTAAGAATCTGGGGGTTAGCCAGCCCCAAATAGTGATCATCTGCTAGTAAATTGGTAACCCCAAGGATTGAAGAAAGAGGGGTAAACCAAACAAAACACTGAGGATTCCTTAGATCCCACTCCAGCCGGAAGAAATCCTTACCCCCCCGGGTAATCCTCAGATGGCTTAACAGTTAGAACATTAGTGACCACTCGATCTGAGGATTCCTTTCATGCCACTGTCCTCGGCCATAAAGTTGCTACCATTCACACCTCGGCGTTGAAGTGCTGAGTTCGCAACGGTCAGTGCCAGGAATACCATCATGGGGGTTGGTTTACTGTAAAAAATGATCAACATCTACAGGATGAAGGGGTCTCAAAAGTTGATTTAAAAACACAATTTGACACAAATAGTGAAAGGATCAAAAAAACAATGCATGCCAATACCGAATAATACCGACACCTGTCAAACAGCAAAGGGCTTGGGTCCGGGTTGAACATTCCACCGAGTTACTATATGAAGCGCGTGGGGCTGTTGATGAGGTACCCAATGATTTTATGGAAACTATATAGCTTATGAATAGCTACGTCAATACGTGCCATTTGATGTCCATGTTCGATAACACATGATAACACTACAATGATGGAGAAACTAAATCAATATTTGTCTATCCATCCATCCATCCATCCATCCATCCATCTAATGGAATCCATCCAGCCATCCAAGCAAATTATACTTACTCAAAAGCATGAAGGAAACGATTGTTGTCATGATTTCCAATCTATCTATTTATCTAACTATCTATCGATCTATCGATCTTTCTATATCGATATCTTTCTATCTATCTCTCCATCTATCTCTCCATCTATCTCTCCATCTACCTCTCCATCTATCTCTCCATCTATCTCCCTATCTCCCCATCTATCTATCTATCTCCCTATCTCCCCATCTATCTATCTATCTATCTATCTGTCTATCTATCTATCTATCTATCTATCTATCTGTTTATCTATGAACATCATCTGGAGCAAGGTTGTTGTCGAGTCACTCTACTTTAACCAGATCGACCTTTGATCTCAGTCTCGACTGATATTTTTCGGAGGACACCATTTCGTCCGTTGAATCAGTTGAACACCTCGTTATGGCAACCTATTAGAATGATTTAGAATGGCCTAAAGGCGGGTGGTCAATTCCCAATTTTCAATCACAACTAGTGCATAACACCAAATATGCCCCAACAGAATCCCATTGTAGCAACCCCCTAAAAATAGAATTGTAATTTACATTGACGTGCCACTATTCAAGTAGGATTTGACTTTTCTGTCTTTTTGGCAGTTGCTATCCCAATATGTTCCTACGGGGGTTGTTTGCATATTCCATGATAATTCCAGTGAATGCACCTGTCATACCTTAAATTCCATTAAATGCCCTTCTCCAATTAACCCCTTAAATCTTCGTTAAACATCACAACCCCCTCATAATTGATAGTTAAATATGGCTAAATCCAATTGAATCTTAAACATGTATCCATTCATCGTCGCCAAATTGTCCAAGCAGCAACGGCAGGTGGTCAGGCACAGTTGCACTGCGCTGACGCGACTTCCTGCCGGGGCTTGTGGCAAATGGATGGGGATCAAACGTCAAATGGATGGCTTTCGCCGCTGCTGCTCTCGCGGAATTGTTGTGAAACTTTTGCGAAAAAACCTGTGCGCATCAACCAAACGATCCACACCCTGAATTGTGTTTGGGTGTTCAGCTCCACTTGATTTACAATGTAGTACGTGCGTCTATTCTATGCCTGCCATCCATTAACAATTCAGAAGGTCCTCACGTCTCACTTCACCTAGGAAAATACACGAAAATACGAGGTTAAGCCGGCTTAGCCACCTCATCAAAATAAACTTTTCGTCATGCCTTTCGCCAAATAAACATATACGTTCGCACCTCAGAAAAGAGCTTCCGCGGGGTCTTATGTTGTATAACACTAGCGGTCTCGTAATTCACAATCCCTAAATGGACCTTTAGATCGACTTCCATATGTGGGTTATGTCAACTCCATTGAAAACAACGATTCCGGATCATAATTCCAGTGATCTTCCCCGACCTTGGCCATCCTTGGCCCCTGGATGCCCACTGGTATGCCCCTGGTCCCTCCTTGGCGTCGACTGTCTTCAAGCTCCTGGGTCTCCTGTTCATGGACCCAAACGCGAAAAATCTATGGCCATTCAATAGACATTCATAGAAATCAATGGAAACTATAGATTTCCTTGGACCATTGATTTCATTGATTTCGAGTTCTCCAGGCTGGAACTTGTTTTCAAAAATGGAAAGGTCCATTTTTTCACCGACTCCCGGAGCCAAAACCATCTCCGGAAGCAACAAACGAAGCATCCATGGCTCGGCTCAGGGCGTCCAAAGTCCTCGATCCGCAGGCAAACTCGTCCCAGGGACATGCTGAAGCCCAAGGACCTTCAGTGGGGGTGGCACATCAGCAGCGGATGTTGCTAGATGTTGATGTTGCATAGGCATATGTCATATACATACATATATATGTAATATAATATAATATGTATATAATATAACTTAACCACTTGTTAGCTATATAATCATACAGTAATCCCATCCTAAGCATAAGTGGATATAGCCATTATACATATGGCTGAACTATAACTTACTGACCTAAAACAGTTGAAATGAAGCCATTTGGGGATTATTCCCCTCTCACGAACCATCATGGCAATTCACCCTTACTATGTACATATATATGTATATATATATATATATGTTGTGTATGTATATTATATATACATATTTACATGAGCGTATACATGATAAGTCATGATATTGTTTCTTTTGTCATTATCTATCAAGTCTTGTCCATCATATTACATGTTTTTTTACTCTTGTCATCATTAAATCATGGTGCATTATCTATATAATTATCTATCCGGATCTATCATTATATATCATTATCTATTGAGACCAATCATTACAAAAAAAATACTAGCTTTCTGCGCACCCATGACAAGCCTTTATGGATCTAGCATACTGAAAACAATAACTACTGTTTGTTAAAGTGAGTTGCTACAAGTCACTTCTAATCCCTTCCTCCTAATACTAAACGTCCCCCTAATACTAAAAACAGGCATCCATCTCCAATTTCCGAAAATTTCAGTTTGGCCAATTTGACTTTTAATTGATCCCCTTTAAAAAACAATTCAAAAATCAACCTGCCATTTGTGGGTTCTCCCCCCTAATACTAAAAACTAATTCATCCCGGGGTGTTTAGTATTAGGGGGGCTAGTCCTACTCCCCAAATCCAAGCTGCCTGGCTGGTCTAGCTGCCTGCATGTTTTGCTGCAAGGAACTGTCTGGCTGCTTGAAAAGCCACCCCTCTGCCTTGCTGTCTGCAAGGTCTTGCTGAGCTGGCTGGAGTCTTGAATTTGGAAGATCCCATAAACACCTATGTTAAGGGTTTCCCTTAATTTTAGGGGGTTAAAAAACAAATTCAAGACTCCAGCCAGCTCAGACAGAAAGGCAGCCAGCCAGGGATGCCTTTCTGTCTGAGCTGGCTGGAATCTTGAATTTATATTTCCCACCAAAACAACAGCAATTATTGGTAATTATTTAAAGGTGACCCATGTAATAAGTTAATTACTTTACTATTATTCAAGATTCCAGCCTGCCTCTCCTGCTGCTCCCTTTTCTGCGCTGTCTGCTGGGAGCTGTCTGGCTGCCTAGCTGCTCAGCTGTCTGAGCAGCAGAGCCAGCACCACGAAAAAGGGACGCCTGCCTGTCTGAGGCGCGTCAGCCACGCCTGTCTGGCCACTGCCCATCTGTCTGTCCGCGTCTGCATCTGCTGGCTGTGTCTGCTGACGTCTGCCCCGAAGCTGTACCAGCTGTCCTGAGAGAAGTCTATATATGTGTATATATATATAATTATATATATATACTGTTGGGACAATAAGTAATATAATGAGGAGGTGGATGTAGGAGGAGATATATGTATATAATTCTGACTGTGTAAATATTTAATGATGGCAAGGTAATTAAGGAATTAATGGGGGATGCACATTCTTCGCTGCCTGTCTGATGGACATCATTGCTGCCTAGCTGCTTGGCGGTGCTCCATGCAGCACACCTTTTTCCCCACCAAGTGGAGTTCTTGCTGGATGTCCTGCAAGCTGGTGAGAGCTGCCTGCAGGACCTGGGTCTGCT